GCCTGATGCACACTGATCATGGCGCCGCTTGAACAGCAATGGGTCAAGGTCCAGCAGAAGACATTCACCAAGTGGTACGCTGCAACCCCCGCCGCCGCCCCGGCCCCGACACTACTACTCACACCGCTGCAGGCTGAACAGCAAGCTCAAGATCCGCGAAGTCGAGATCAAGGACCTCATCATCGACCTCTCGGACGGTGTACGTGCCCCGCTTGGCCCCCAACATGGCCTCTCCCCGCATCACGTCCTAACGCCCCCTAGATCATACTCATACACCTCCTCGAGATCCTCAGCAACGAATCCCTCGGCCGCTATGCCTCCCGTCCCAAGCTGCGCGTGCAGAAGTTTGAGAACGTCAACAAGTCGCTCGACTTCATCCGGAGTCGGAGGATCCAGCTTACCAATACCGGTGCCGAAGATGTCGTCGACGGCAACAGCAAGATCATCCTGGGTCTGATATGGACCCTCATTCTGCGCTTCACCATCAGCGACATCAACGAAGAGGGTCTCAGTGCCAAGGAGGGTCTGCTGCTGTGGTGTCAGCGGAAGACGGCCTGCTACGATGAGGTCGAAGTCCGTGACTTCTCTACGAGCTGGAACGACGGACTGGCATTGTAGGTGGAGGACCCTTTGGTGGGAGACTGGGCTAACAACAGACAGCTGCGCCCTGCTCGACATCCACCGTCCCGATCTCATCGATTACGACAGCCTAGACAAGAGCGACCACCGCGGCAACATGCAGCTTGCATTCGATATCGCCTCCAAAGAGATTGGTATCCCCGACCTGCTGGATGTGGAGGACGTGTGCGACGTCGCGAAGCCCGACGAGCGTTCACTCATGACATACATTGCCTACTGGTTCCACGCCTTCTCGCAGATGGAGCGCGTGGAGAATGCTGGGCGGCGAGTCGAGAAGTTCGTCGCAAATATGCAGGGAGCCTGGCAGATGCAGAACGACTTCGAGCGACGCATGCGCGAGCTGCTGGACCAGATCGCCAAGCAGCGCACACAGTGGGAGGAGGCCAAGTTCGACGGGACATACGCAGACGCTAGGAACCAGTCGACCGAGTTCACCGCCTGGAAGCGCAAGAGCAAGCGAACATGGGTAGCCGAGAAGTCAGACCTGGTGGGACTACTAGGGAACATAAGGACGAAGTTGGCCACATACCGGTTGCGACCGTACGATCCGCCCGCGGAGCTCAGCCTCGAAGCACTAGACAGCGCCTGGACGGGATTGATGAAGGCCGAGAGACAACGCTCCCAGGTCATCAACGAGACAATCAGAGACATCAAGAACGCTCTGCGGAAATCTTTCGCCGACAAAGCAAACGACTTTGCCCTGGCCCTCAACACACTCTCTACATCGATATCAGCGTTGGAAGGCGATGTTGAGGACCAGCTAGAGCACACAAAGGAGATCAGCAAGTCGCTGGCACCCCTGGACGAATACCTGAACCTCATAGCGTCCATCGACGAGCAATGCGCCGAAGCGAACATCGAGGAGAACGACTTCACAACATACACATACGACGAGCTAGAATACGAGCTGGGCTTGGTCCGCAGTTCGGTATCGAAGAAGCTTGCCTTCTTGGAAAACCAAATGGTGGCACGTAACATGACCAACCTCACCCCAATACAGCTTGAAGAGTTTGAATCAGTATTCAGGCATTTTGACCGCGATGTATCGAATTCGTTAGCAGAATTGGAGTTCTCTGCCGCATTGGCTAGTTTGGGCTTGGTATACGACGAAGAAGAAATGCACGAGAGATTCCGCGAAACTAGTGGTGGCAAAGACTATGTTACATTCGAGCAGTTTATCCGATTCATGGTGGACGAAACCGAGGATCAAAATACCGCGGAGCAAGTCTTTGAGTCTTTCAAAGAGGTCGCCGACGGCAAGGTCAGTCTATGCCCACCTCTTTCCCTCATTCCTCCATGTATCACCAGCTACTAACATCCCACCAGCCATACGTGACCGAACTCGACCTCCGCCACTCCCTCGTCCCCGACGAAGTCATCGACGACCTCCTCTCCACCATGCCCGAGCACAAAGGCCCAGATATGGCAGAAGACCGCGACATACCCAAATTCGACTACATCACATACATGCAGCGGTACATGGGCGCCGACCGCGCCAACGGCACCGCTCCCGAGCCGGAAGTCAACGGCGAGTAGAACACGACCGATCTCGAGCATAGGGTTCTTCTTACCCCGGCGTTTGTATAGCCAGCCGTCCGGGAACCAACACAAGAGTTTGGATAGGATAATAGCATGGATTGGATATTGAGATCGCTCAGCGGTGTATCGTTTGGTAGATTCTTTTCTTATGGTTCTTTTGCATAGTCAGTGGCTGGTTTTGGAGTCATGAGTCCCGCTGTTAAGTTGGTTATTGAGGTGGTATACACGGCTAGGATGGAGGATATGGATGAATTGGAATTGAATGGATTGGTTAGGCTCTTTGGAGTAAGGCGCGCGACTTGTTGCATGTTTGACCACGTTGGATACCACGCAGATAGCTGGAGAATTATTGAAATTAGTTGAAATTATGACGTTGGTTGCTGGGGATGTTTGAGGTGTTAAGGTGCAGGGTGGGGTTGTTGTGTGCTGGGGCGCTACTGCCATTTGTGTTGGGTCAGCAACATCGTCATCGCTCTGCGACTTCCAATCAACATCACCCAGACTTTTCATACTCCATTTATTTCAGGCTTGCATCTAGAGTCTCGCCATTTCTTAGTTTTCTTTTTCTCTTACTGCGTGTTATCGTGGTTTCGGATTGCTGCTTTCAATGTCACTGTCAACTTTCCATCGCTCTTGCCTCTTGTTAACTTTTCCATGAAACCCTGCTTCCATCTCTCATGCTTCAGAACGACAAGCATGCAATCTAGTATAACGCACGCTTCACCACGCAGTCATCGAAAGCCAGTCACGCCAAAGAACAAAGCTGCCAACGCCCACCAGACCAACCCCGATACTCTCACCATCTCTCTCGCTTACACCACCTTCACCTCGCCTCCGCCCACGTATCCTGCCATCCAGCCTCTGATCTCCAAAATCTCTTCACTACCCTCTACCTACAACCTCTCTTACTATGCAACCCGCAAAATTCCTAGTTCTTCTACATACAACTATACGCTATACTACTATTCTATCTGTTAATTAGCAGTTGCTACTAGTAGACTAATTACTCTCTTTAATATGTAGATAAGTAGAGTAATATATAGATAGAGAAAGCCTACACTATAGTATACCTTAGATAAGTAGAGTGACATGTAGACAGAAGAGGCTTACACTGTAGTATACCTTAGATAATTAGAGTAACATGTAGACAGAGAAATCGTACACTATAGTATACCTTAGATGAGTAGAGTGACATGTAGATAGAGGAAGCCTACACTATAGTATACCTTAGACAAACTTAACCTTCGGGTTTACTCGGAAGTCTACGATTGTGTGTATGTTTTTTTTTTATGTTTTTTGGAGGGTAGGTTGAGGTTTTGACTTGAGGCTGGGCAGGAGCGTTGGGGTGGTGTTGTTTAGTCTCTTTTCGCGTCGGTCGTGTAGGGTTTAGAACAGAGTTCAAGGCAGAGTGAAGGTGACGACAAAACCTCCAAGGCACGGGCTCACAGAGCTGATCTGTGTTTTCCTAGTTACTCTTCGTCATAGTCCTCTATCTACTGGCTACTAGGTATGGCTATGCGAGAACGAGTTATGGCTTTTGCGCTTTGACCTTGCCCGAAATACTCCTTGTCGTACCGCGCATCATTTTCCAATTCGTACTCTCGTCAACCCGCCACCATCACGGTCTAAATGAAATTGTCCTATTGCAGCGTATTCCACAAACCACTTAACATTCTTCAGGCGCTGGCTGTCATAGTCCCGACGAACACAATGCTTCGACCGTTCCAATTCCTCGACTTGCCTGTCGAGTTACGACTCATGGTATACAGCCTCATACCAAACCGCACCATCCATGCCCGATACGTTAAATCCAGCGAAGATGGAACGACCACGAATAGCTTCACTCTCATCACGTACACAGCGCCCACAGCCATCCTCGCTACATGCAAGACCATCAACAACGAAGCCACAGATATTGTCCTCAAGACCACACAACAGCTTCTACCGGGTCAAAACGCCATAGAGATAGCTCCCTTTATCACTGGCGTCACACCGCGGATCGAAACCGACGCTTCGAGTCTGCGAGTAATCGGAGACGAGAAAGGGCCTATCAGAGCGACGTTCAACTGGTTTGCCACCCTCCGGACAGAAGACTACGATGACTTTGACGCTTCTCTCCCGAGGTACGCATACGGCGCATATGACTTTCTTATCAACCACGGGTACATCATGGAGGGCGGTACGCTGGGAGAATCAGTCCGTCACCTCGTCAACTTCATCCGCAAATCCGGACTCCTGTTTCGGACTCGCCGCCGAACGACTTGGGTGCTAGATAACAGGTCGTATGCGCTTCATGTTGCTTTGACCGCGGGTGGCGATACTGAAAGAGACACGAGGATTGCGGTAGAGAAATTCAGTAAAATGATAGGGCCCCGGACGTCCAAACAGACAGGGGATAACTATGTCAGAATCTCCACACTCGCAAATGTACCAAGGGCATATTGGCAAGCTATCTGCTGGTATATCGAGAGTAAAGAATGGGGGCGTCGTCGGGTTATTGAGGCTCAGCGGTGGTCTGGAAAGAGGAAGAACGTTCCTGAGGAAGCAGCGCTTGTGTTTGGTTGCTACGACCTGGACGAAGACTTTGAGGAAGTCTACGATAGGTTTTGGAGGGAAGGAGACTGGGAACTCTGAAGGGATGTACAGATGACCAGGTGGAGAGGCGGTGTAGAAGAAGCCCGATGTCTATGTAGGCCGTGCTCTGTCTGGGTGTTCGGGAATCAGATGAGCAAGCCCAAAGGACACAGATTCGAAAGGGCGCATGCTTTAGCCATTCATTCATGAGCTTAGTACAGCCAGAAATCTCGATTCCACCCACCTCATCAATTAACCCCCAACAAATCCGGCAACTCAATCAACTCCCTCTGCATCTCGCTACACATCTCCAAAAACTCCCTCTTCTCCATCTCCGTCGCAAACTCAATCTTCGCCCCGCTGATAACCTTCCCCTTGTCCACACTCTTCCCAGCCCCCACTTTCTCCTTACCTTTCCCTGCAACAGAAGCAGTGGCACCTTCCGCAAAACTGTCCTTCCTCATCGCGCGATCACCCCGATCAATTGGTACTCTCAGCCCTTTGATCTTCACCTCCTTGTCCCCACCGTCTTTCACTTTGATAGGGTTGACGGAGGAGTTGAGGTAGAAGGCTAAGTAGCCGTTTCGGAAGTCGGCGGAGAAATGGATTAGGGCGATGATGGCGCCTGTGTCGTTATCTTCCCATACGCGGAGGTTCTCCAGGCCGCACATTTGCTCGGCGTAGGAGAAGGATTTTGAGAGGCCTTCGTGGATGCGCATTGTTTTCTCTGTGCGGAATGTCGCGAGCAGAGTGCGGCCCATCAGTTCGTTTTGGAAGAGTGCGGCCGCTGGGTATGTAGTTAGTCATCGTCTTCTTTCTTAGATGCTGTTTCGGTAGTCTACCTTGTGGTGAGTCAAAGACGTAGTTGACCCAGCTAGTCTTTTCTACACGCACTGGCCGATTGCCGTGCTTGACGTCGTGAAATATGAGCTCGCATAGAACTGTGATGGAGGCTTTGGCGGGGTTGAAGTAGCTGGAGTACGGTATGTACATCTGGTCGTCTTCCATACGTAGCTCCACGCGGGTGGTGTTGTCGTCGCTAAACGCCCATACGGATGTCACGACGCGCACTGCCTTCGTCTCCGAGTCGGTTACGCGTTTGCGTACTACGGCGATCCTGCACTCCTCGGAAGCCTGAATCATTTCGACGTCTCTTGGGTCGTCTTGGTTTATCCGGTGCGAGTATTCGACGAGCGAACCGCGACTTTCTGTAGTTAGCATTGCTAAACACGTACACTGAGAAGAACGGACTAAGAGCAAAGTCGGCTTACACATCACATAGAATCGCTGAGTTACGGAAAGCTTCCTTCTCGAAGGCGGCTTTTTGACTGGTAGTGGTTGAACTTCGGTGAAGTTTCATAGTCTCAGGTTGCAACGAAGGGTAAGGGCTTAACATGGCGTGCGATGTCTGAGTAGGTGTTCTTTCGAGTTCATGAAGTGAGCCGAGCGTCATAGCCGGAGGTGGGAGTAGCGTGTGATGCCGATTGTCAGCCTTTCGGCCCGGCTTGCATACTTCCGGTGTCCTTGGTAGAGGTGATGTTTTCTTGGTCGATGTCGAAAACTGTCCGCTCAGTCGAGAGTCAGGTAGTAACGAAGATGGACTTTGCCAACCGACTGAGCTTGTACCAGCGTCAGACGATGCATAGCTACTGCTGGAGTATCGCAAAGATGAGCCGCCAAAGCTAAATTCCGACACACGTTTTTGAGCGGGTGATGATGTTCTTGAGGCGGACACGACATCCGCTGGAGATGTCGGAACAGGAGCATCATCGTTGAATCTGACTATAGAGGACTGTTCGTGGGCCTTTGGGCGCTGCGGGATCCGAGGCAGAGATATCTTGATATTTTGTGGCCTGGGTGGAGATTCTGGGGGAGATAAAGCATGGTACGTTTGGCTCAATGGGTCGGCGTTTTCGGTGGTCGGTGAACGCGCAGGGTTCTTTGCTGGTACGGGTGGCACATGTGAAGTGTGTGGTGCAATCATTAGGTCCTCCACCATACGATGTACTTCGTCAAGCTGCTGATCGATGCTTCCAGCCAAGTGGTGCATGTTATCGATTCGCTCTGCGATTGGTATGACGGTGCTGTCCATACGAGCCATAGACTTGCTGCACCATGGTCAGTAGATGTGTGACATGGATTTGGCAGCACTAGCCTTTGCAATGCTTCCGTCAACTCATCGATAGAGTTCGTATGTGTCTGTAACATCTCTTTCAGATCTGCGAGGTTTCCGCCCTCGGGAGTCCAGATCATCGTCCTGTATGAGGCTAATACCAGATCGCTCCACGAGCGCTCAATTGCGAACCCTCCAACTGTGCGGTGCTTCTTGATGACTTGGTATTGGTCGATCAGCGAGTCAAGATCATCTACTGTCCGTTGACAAGACCTTAGGATGGTACCAACGCCATATTTTATTTCCTGGTCAGCGTCCTGTAACAACTGCCGCACGGACTCCGCGTGCAGCGTCTCTGCCAATGATGCCAATGATTTTGCGAGGCTGCCGATTTCCGTCTCAACATATTGAAGCTCCACTGGCGCATTCTTTTGGCAAGCAGAAAAGGTGCGTCCAATCTTCCAAGCCTTCTGCGACAGCACCAAGATGTCCCCAATGTTGGGGACGGTCATGGTGGCGGACGATGACGGGTCATGCACGAAGTTGAGCAATCAGCCAGGTAGTAAGACAGCGCACGGATGGGAATGGGGATAGCAATTCGGAGTGTCCATAAGGTCTAGAGAATAGGTAGAGAACATCCGGGGGAGCTCTCGATATACTGTGGACACGGGAGGCGTGGGGGCTATGCGATGAAGATTCGCAGCACAAACTAGAGCAGGCCCAGCGCCGTGCGCCTGGGATATAAGACTCCATAACGAGTGCCCGCGTGTACTGTGGGGACCGGTGGCCGGGTGTTCCAGTTCGCAGAGGTTGAGAATGGAGGAGCATGGGTCGCGATGCTCGACCGGGATACCACGTGGGTCAGGTAGCGTCTCGCCATTGGCGTCAACCGCACAACCGGCATTTGCCCCGCGTAGCTGTCAATACCTGCCAACCGGCGCTGGGCTCAATGAGGACCGACGTGCGCGCAAGCTTAGACTCCGCAAGTTCCAGCAATTGTGACACGCATGCGCAAGACGAATGTGTTTGGTGCAAAAAGCGGGCTACCACTCGGACCGGGCAGCCATGGCACCGGCCGTCCTGCAGGGTACCGTCAATTCGTATTAAGACTTTGGTATACATGTACAAATCCCGCCTCCTGTGGGATACGTTTTGCCGACTTCCGTGCGACGTGATAGAGTAGAGGAATTTTCGAACACATGGTACTTGTATAGCCCATCTTCCCGACCATCACGGTCCAAATCATACCCGAGAATCCATGCGCCTAGAGTGTGTAGTATTGTACAATGAATCGCAAATCGTTGTTGTCATATCGTCGTCTGGTGCTTATGCGAGGGGAGAGAAAAGACTAGAAGAGTCAGCTAAGTTCCCAAATGCACATTGGCTGGGATCGAGTGGTATGTTGGAAAAGAGGTTCAGAACAGAAGCGAGCGACTCGAAGAGCGGAAAGACCATAATCCCCGTAGATGCCTTGGTCTTCCACTGACACTGCCGGGCTGGCCCATTATGACCTTAGTGTAATCTTGTAGGAACAATACGACAATCTCCTTTTTACAGTCTGCTTCCAGTCTTCGAAAGTCGCCAGGCAGACTTCCACAGCCGGCGAAGTTCTTTCCCATTGTGAAGAAGAACCTCGTGCTGGTATAGGAACGGCGGGAATAGGCGGTGTACTCACCGGATGAGAGAAGGCTTAGGCTCGCTTCGGGAGTATCCGAGGTATAGGATCAAAGGCAGGTAGCCGTAGTGAATAGCGACGCGGGAGACATCGATGATGCGCGCGATGCGCTCCTGTATGGGGTCAACGGAAGCCCGGTCTGATTGTACTTGGCGTATTGACGTACCTTGGACTCTTCTGACAACTGGTACATGTTGAGTATGCAGTCGGCCTGGGGTTGAGGTGGTCGAGTTGTATGCGGTAATGGGTGAAGGCGGGCCCAGCGAACGAAGTTGCGATGATGCGTAAAGCTCAAAGTTTTGGGATTAGCCGCATGTGTGTTAGCGCAAGCTCAGACTGGAGCTCCAATATCTTCGAGATGCCTTCACTTCGTTCCTGAACACCAATCCCCATTCACGACGTCTGACGACCCCAACTAAACCGTCCGGATTTCTATTGCGACCCAGGATCCAGAGTTTTGAAACTATAAACACCGGTCTTTCAACATGTCGGCCCCGAGTGCGCGTCACTGGTAAGTTGCAGCATTCCGAGTCTCGAACAAGTAGTGAACATGGACTCACGAATGCGCAGGGAACAGAATAAAGAAGCCACAGTCTACGTCGGAAACCTCCATGAGCGCATCACGCCCCGCATTCTTCACGAGCTGATGCTCAACGCCGGCCGAGTACGAAATGTCAACATGCCCGTCGATCGCGTCAACGGCCAACATCAAGGGTTCGGTTTCGTCGAGTTCCACACGGAAGCAGAGGCAGATTACGCGCCCAAGATCATGAACAACGTTGCGCTATACGGAAGTCGGATACGTGTTAACAAGGCGTCCGCAGATAAGCAGAAGAATGTTGAGATTGGCGCAGAGCTGTTCATTGGTAACCTTGATCCTGGAGTGGATGAAAAGACACTGTACGATACATTTGGCCGCTTCGGACCGTTGGTGAATGCGCCAAAGGTTGCGCGCGACGACATCACGCAAGCATCCAAGGGATACGGGTTCATCTCCTACGGCGACTTCGAATCCTCAGATGCGGCTATCGCGAGCATGCACAACCAGTACATCATGAGCAAGCAGATCACGGTTCAATACGCATACAAGAAAGACGGAAAGGGTGAGCGGCACGGAGACGAAGCGGAGCGTATGCTCGCGAAACAGGCCAAGGCCCACGGAGTTGCGCCTGCTGTGCAACCTCTGCCGGCACATCTTTTCCAACTTCCACCAGGTGCTGCACCGAGTGGACCAGCCATGGGCATGGATGGACGTGGCATGCCCGGCGCACCAAGCGGACCTGGAGCAGGATATGGACCCCCTGGCGGACCTCCCGGCGGACCTCCTGGTTACGCTCCCAACGGCCCTGGAGGCTATGGCCGACCTCCTTCCGCAGCTCCGGTCGGCCATCCAGGTCTTCCACCACCCCCATCGGGCTTGCCTGCTCGCCCACCAAGCGGCGCTCCGACGAACTTCTTTCCTCCCCCGCCCGGGTTCAACGGCCCACCACCAGCTTTTGGCGGTCCACCAGGTTTCGGAGGGCCCCCCGGCTACGCTCAGGCACCGAGGTAGAGGGAAGAAACGCGAAGGAATCAATGACAATCACGTTGAATATGGGCGTTGTAGCTTGAGCAGTCTCCCAGATGCTAGAACCGGTACTTCTGCGAGCCAGGGGACCAGGCCTGTCGGTATAATAGCCGTCCGCAGAAATCGCGGAAGTCATGGCCTTTGATCGACATGAAGCAGCATGAGACGATGGCGTCACGATTGGGAGGCATGATGTTCACCAGGCTTCGAGTCGATTAAGGGAAAACATCAAAAGTGTATTCGAAAAGGCGCTGAAAGGTCAGCGAAAGAAAGACGCAGAACTCGGAAGAATAGAGGGCACAGGATATCTGGCGTCCAAATCCATACTCGCAGAAAGATACCCGCCAAGAGCATGTCAGACAAAGATAGGCCACTGAAGGCAACAAAGGAAATGTAGTAATGTGTCCAAACCCCATACAAAAGAAAGAATTACGAAAGAGCCATGTAAATGAAAACCGCCATTGAACCCAGTCGTTGCAATTATGAGAAGCTGACAAACTTGGGGTCGCGGGGTATCCCATCGGCTCCAATGTTGTTCTTCTTGAACCTCTCCTGCATGTATATTCTGCGTGCCTCGTCGAAGTCGCAGCCGCGTCTCTTCATAATGCGCATAACCTCCTTCTTCCCCGCGTCGTCCAAGCCTTGGCGCGAGTCGCCGGCTTCCACATTCCCACTCAGGTCAAACGCTGAGGACGAAAGGCCGGCTTCGATGTCGTCGCGGAACGAGGATGGGAGGCGCGTGTAGATGGGTCCGGGGATAGGCAGAAGGTGTATCCAGCGGTGCCGGGTGAAATAGGCAGCTGCGCAGTGTTAGTGTGGCGCAGGAGGTGTTCACTATGGCAACATACCTGTCGCAATCACCAGAACGAAGAGCGAGACGGAGTAGAGGATGTAGGCCATGATGAAGGTTGCTTCCGAGGCTGCACAAGAGATCTATAGCGTATGCGACAGAGCGGAGGTCTTCGGGAGTGCGGGAGGGAGCTGCTCGGCGCGACAAAGGAGTTGGTGATGAATACAAAAGAAACGGATATGAAGTAAATTCAGCGGTAGTGTGTAGATGAGCGCCTCTGAAGCCAAGGCATTAGGGGAGGTTGATGCAAGACAACGATGGTTTGTAACCACGGAGTCGCGGACAAGAACGCTCGGCTGCACCGCCTCACGTCGCGTTCATGCATCGTCACTTCCGCTCCGCTCTTGGCGTCGGCACGCACGTTGATCCATCCCCGAAACACGCACTAAGCGCATGCGGTAATGCAGACGAGGGCCCTCGATTCAATATTGGCGAACTTTCCCAACGTCAAGCAATCGACATCGTCCGTATCCACATTCCATACAGACACAATGGCCACCACTATCTCGCACGATCTTGCCTGGGAGGTTACCAGTGAGTGAAAGACTGGGACGCGCATTGGGGAGGGACTGGGGTTGACATATGGCAGAGGGACGCAGCTCCACGCTCGTCAAGAGGGCGAACGGTATCCAGTTCTCGCGCGATCCTCTTAACCTGAGGAACGTCTACAGCCGCAAGGTATGCATGGAGATTGGATTCCTGGGATCAGTTGACTAATTCTGCTCAGAACGAGGGCTCCATTGCCAACAAGGTACGATTACCACGAACCACGAATGCGCCGCGCGCACGTCCGAACCAACACAAGACACGGTATTGACAGCGTTGGAATAGGCTATCGGTGTTATCCCCGGCCCCGAGGGTGGTGTCACTCTTCTCATCAAGAAGGCCGACAAGCACCACCAGCCCGCATCTGCCATCCAGACCACCACCTTCGGCCCCAGCAGGTCCACCCGCAAGTACGTCTTCTCCAAGCCACGGCTGTCCTCGCTCGACTGCGCCGATACTACATATCAAAGGACTGCTCGCTGACCAACGTAGGACATACTCCGCCATCGTCAACTCCACCACCAAGCGCAACTACCGCCCCGACCTCCGCCAGGACGCCGTCGCTAAGGCCTCCGCCATCCGCAAGAGCCAGAAGCCCGTCAAGGAGTCCAAGCCCACCAAGGCCAGGGGCGCCAAGGCTCAGGCCGCTGCCACCGAGGCATAGATCATGAGATACTGAAGAGCGTGGTGCATGTGAATTGGTTCGGAGTTTTACTTCATTCGGTTCATCATCTTCTGTGGGATTCGGAGCTCATGAAAGAAAATGAGCATGGGTTGCATGAACGAATAAAGCTAGAGTCTTCACGACGAATCGACTCGGCGAGAAATGAATATGCTTCGAAAACCAAATGCTGGTGTGCACAATGCCCTCGTGATGGGTGTGGCGTTATGGATGTTTTCCAAGTGTCACCAAGATGTTGCATGTCCGTGACGCCAGATCGCTCACATGCACAAAGTCCCCTGGATGTACTCTCGACACAGTCGCATCTCTATGCCTGTGAAAACCAACTGTGACTTACCGTATAGATGCGTAAGTACGAAATATTTCCAGTGAGCCAGTGTATAGAACGCAGGGTGTGCAAACATGGCCTTTCTAGGATGAGCATAGACAAAGGGATTTGATCAAAGAGGAAAGTGACAGCTAGGCATGATAGAACAGAATGCGCCTTTGGTCAGTGAGTACACATAAAATAACTAAGTTTCGATTCGAGCGGGTCTTTGCGTGTTGGCATAGTGCCAGCTGATACATACCATGATCTCAGACCATGGTTTTGTACTTAAGTATACCAATTCGGACAGTGTTAATGGGTTCTAGATGATTGCAGGAGCTTATGTAAGCAGCCTTGATCTATTCGCATGCCATGTGCCGTAGCTAAAATAGCCCCTCCAGGGCTGGCTAGCCGCCCACACCTGGGTTTGCAGCACGCACAACTTTTGCCTACCCAGGTGATAACGCAGTAAGAGGTCGAAGCGACAGCCCTTTCTGCGCAGTTAATAGAATTGCAGTTAGATACCACATTTTTTCCCGTTTTCTCATCGAATCACCTACTCAGCCATTTCGGTTGCTCAATCTTCAGTAGTATAGTGGTCAGTATTTCCGCTTGTCATCTTAACAGACAACTCGCGGGAGACCGGGGTTCAATTCCCCGCTGGAGAGCATTTCATGCATTCTTTTTTTGCTTCGGGTGGGCTTCTGCACCATGGCCATGAAAGTCAATTCGGGGGGAAACTCGTGACGATGTTTTTTGCCCCGAGTAAGTAATGCACAATAACAAACTTTATAAGCCTGCAATAATGCCAGTAACTTCGTATGCGAGTAGTAAGTTATAAGAAGGAACGTAAAGATTTTCACGATATGTACAAAAGTCTACTCTATCTTGACAGAAATCTACTCCATCGTTGCCGTAGTCCGTCGTCGCTTTCTGCTCCTTTGCGTGGGTGGGGACGGATTAGCAACGACCGTTTTATCGAGCGCTTCTTGAATCTTCCTTGCAGACCAGCCGTCGTCGGTTGGCGTCCAGCTCCTCAGAAAGGAGGCTGAGCCAGCATGCCAGATAAGCTGTTTCACGGTGCCTGGCGGTGCGACTAGTAAAATTTGGCATCTTCCCTTTGACACCATGCGAATTCGCGTCGCTACACGCTTTACGAACGTACTCATGCATGGAAGTGCATAACCCGGTCCGCCATGGTATGTGGGACTGGAATTGCAGTCCATGACTATTGTTGTGAGATGTGTAATGGGATATTGAAGCAGCGCTTCCCGCCAACCATCAAGTTCTCTTGCAAGTTTCGGCTCCTCCTCTGTATACTCCAGCCAATTGCTCTCGGTACATTTGAACAGTTTCTGGTTCTCGGAGAACAGTTTCAACCTGATCTTCTTCGGCAATCTAGCTGGACTCTGTGAGGCTATCGCATCCTTGACCGTGTCTGTTGTTTGCTGGCTCTTGTGATTCGTGAGCAAGCCCGATAGTGCAGCATGCGTCTGGAACGTGACGCTTCGCTCTCGGAGTATTGTGGATATGGCTTCCTCACGAATCGCTTTGGAACAGCCGAGTAGTGGGATTGGCACCGTTTCGGTAATTGCATGGTACACGATCGTGGTGTCGGTGAGTGCATATGACCAGATGGCCTCGCGCAGTTCCACTGCTAGAATCGAAAGTGTTCCGAGTGGATTCTGTCCTGACTCCATGTCTATTCTGGACGAATGGTGTTTGTAGTGGTTTCCCCAACGTTGCTCAGGTGGGACCAGGTTCTTTGTTCGATTACGCCGTCACCGTGCAGTCGTTCACGCCAACTCTTTCGGGAAAGTTCAAGTTTAAGCTCAACGCCGCAAGATGCTGTCCAAATCCACTCGTGTCGCGAAAGGGCTATGTGTGGCTGAAGAGTGAAAAGCTGTTGAGGGGGAGAGCCGAGCAAGCGGAACGCTGCGGGCCGCGGGCGTGGACCAATCCAGCGATGGTCATGCACTAGCCGCTAGCGAATCGCCCGTCTTCACCTAGGCAGTCGCGATGTTCAGCAGTTGCATACACCCTTGACCCGAGATCTTCCCTTATCAGTATACTTTGAGCCTGGCGATCGATCCGATCGCCTCTGCGATGGGAGTTTTTCGTGACGAACGCACACGCAGGGATGGGCCGGGTATCACAAAGCCCTTGTCTCACAGATCCATCAAACTGCCCAATTGCCGAGCGGCCTCGTCCATACACGTTGCCCGTACAGGGCCTCGCCTGGCCGGTCAAACGCGGCCGCATTCTCGCTAAAGCGCTACGCATGGCAGCATCGCCTAAAGCTTGCTCTTTCTATAGTCTATTAAGGTTACGTGCAGGGCTGCCTATTAGATAAGAACACATTTCGCTAAACCTTATCTCTAGCTACTTAGCCTTAAACCTATACTTAAAAAGACTTAATTACTAGCTTTATCTTATAAACTTTAAATACACTACTATAGCTAAGCTACTACTACTACTACTACTACTATACTTTTCTTTACTAAGCTCTTACTTTTTATTATAAAGCTCTTACTTTAAGAGAACTATAGTTTTTATATTATAGACTTAGTCTAATACTTTTATTATATAGCTTTAGCTAACAAGATAAAGATAAATTTACACTCTCTACTAGAGCTATATAACTTTTATAAGTGCTACTTCTCTAGCTTATAAGTTTAAGAATATATAGCGTCTAATTATCTACGCGTATACTTATAACTAAATTTAAAAAGCTATTAACTACTATAATAGTAGAGGTAAAGCAAAGTAGACAAAAATTAGTAAATTAGAGCTAAGAGATTAGCATTACTTAATTATAGGCAACTTAGTCTACTAGCTTATTTAAGTAGTAGCGCTCTTATTCTAGAATCTAGAAATCTAGAAATTTAAGCTAAAGGCTCTGCAACTCTTTGCTATAAGTATTTTGACGAGCTGGCGCAGAGCATACCTTGCAGGCGGGCTGTTTGTCGCGTAGCGATTGGCTATACAATAGCCCTTCTCAGAAGCGACTTCATCCTGATTAACGGTCTAGCTCCCAGCGGCAGCTAGTGGCTTACCGCATGTTTCCTAGGACTGCCGTCTGATCCACCGCTGCTCTCACTAGAATGCCAGTACAAGGCTGAGTGCTGCCTCAATTCCAGCTCTCCGTCTACCGGTTTGGCCACTGGTACGCGCTATAACCACTATACAGCAGCATGTCGTGGACTCCGGTGGACTTCAGCTGTGTCCGCTACTCGGCGGTAGAGGGCACACACTACTTCCATGACTCCGCCTTCCCTTCCTCAATACAGTTCTTGCTGTCCGGTCGCTGGGAGCCTTGGGACGTCAGCTACGTGAAGTAGTATGTCGCGCGTCTTCTCCAGATACCCCCATTAGTGAAACTAACGTATCGAAGCAAGGCTCAAGATCCGGATGTCCGACGCGTTGCAGAAGAAGCAGAGTTGCGACTTATCCGGGATCCATACTCTGGATACATTCCATGGCCGTCTCCGCCTCCCTCGGCTACAGGCCCTCCACCACTGGCCCCCATATACGGCCAGGCATCATCACAACCAATTGTCACCCATATTACGGCAGCGGGTCTCATGACACCTTCACCGTCAACGATAGTTGAGAATGCTCTTCCCGGCTCGCCACGCGATCATAGTACTCCTTCATCAGCGACGACAGCGACCGTATATGCTTCTCCGTACGCATTTCAAGCCGCTGCGCCAACTGGAGCTACAATACCGCCAGAACCGACTCCCACTGTTCAAGCAGCTCCTGAAAGCAATATGCGCCCATCTTCGCAGTACATCGATCCCGCCTTACATGATCCGACACCAAACCAAGCAGCACCTCTACCAGCCATCCTTTCGAGAACGAGAGAGACGAAGATTCTGCTTTCCATTGACGGTGACGGTATCCGGGGCTTATCTGCTCTCCTTTTAGTTGAATCGCTGGTCAACGCGATCTGCGTCAAAGTTGGGCAGCGCTTAGACAGCCACCAGATTTTTGACTTGACAGGTGGTAGTTCTCTTGGCGGTATAATAGCCATCATGCTATGTCGACTGCGCATGCAAGCCCACAGAGCAAGAGAAGCTTACAAACAGATCGCGAAGCAAGTGTTCGACAATAAAAGGGCCTACTTCAGATATCTCGACCCTCATGCACAGATACAGAAGCCTGACGACAGCGCGTTAGAGAACGAAATCAAGAGCGTGGTTCAGCAGGAGCTAGGCAACCCGGACGAAGTACTCCTAGATGGACGGCCCGACTCGGGCGACGTGTGAGTAAAGCCTATTCATCCGCGACGTACATGCTGACTCGACAAAGTTTCGCAATTACGACACAAATGGACATCGGTACGTACTGAAGTGGGAAGCGTGGTGATATTCACTAACGAATTGAAGGCACGAACAAAGCTGCTCTTATCCGATCATACCAAACACGGCGCATAACTGGACCGGACTTGGAACCGAACATGCCCATATGGCAAGCGATGAAGGCGACCTCAGCAGCCCCACGATACGTGCAATCCGAGCCAGGAGTTCCGCAACGCTTCGTAATCGAGAAAGGTCTCGTTGATCATGGGACTACAAAGAACAACCCAGTTCGCGACATCCTGTATGAATGTAGGAAGCTGTTCCGATATGCGAACGACATGATGATCATTGTCTCGGTCGGGACGGGCGTCGGCCTGAATCGCAAAAACGAGATTCCCGAAATGGCGAACAGCGTTGAGGATAGGAAGGCTGAAGCAAGATCGTGGGGTGATAGATTTGAGGCCGAACATGCTGCGTTGATGGAGCGCAACTGGATGAAGTACTTTCGGTTTGATGTGACGGGGTTGGAAGATGTGCCACTGGAGGAGTGGAGTCACGAAGATCTGATTAAGGAGAAGACTTCAGCATACCTCGCTCAGCCAGAGGTGGGACAAAAGTTCTATGCGTGTGTTGATGCGATAACGGCGCTGCTGTTGAGCCCGCAGGGGAGGTAGACAGACACGGCAACGGTAAATATGGCACAGCTGGTGGACGATAGTCGGTCGCAAAAGTGCTGCTAATAGTAATCCAATCCCCATCAGGTACATGTTGGGGTTCACCCAGTCTATGCCGCGGGTTAAAACTGTTACGTCGCGTTGTCAGGTCGCGTGTGCCCCCGCCTAGCGCGCCTGCCGTCCACTCATGGGCCCGTCCACCACGTATCGACGTCCTTTCACACCCATCTCCTGAACGACTGCTTAGGTGCATGACATCACGCAAACCGGCGTCAAACTCCGCGTCAGGTACTTTGCATATATCGACTGTATGAGTAGGATCCGACTTCCTGGTCGACGCCGCGTAACCGCAGCGTACAGAACGCCTATGACGCCATGCCTCATCCTTTCTCTTGGCCCAACACCCGCATCGACCAAACATGGGAAACATCGCGCACATCGCATTCCCCATCATCGGTCGATGCACCCTTATTTACCCCGCGATCAGTTGATTACTCTTGGCTGCCACGGCTGTGTATGCCTTGGCTCAGAATGACAAGCCTCACATTGGCGGAGTAAGCTTACCGAAGATGTAGCCAGCCGCCTCTTGACATCAGAGGCACAGGGTAATGGGCAGCCTGATGTCGCGTAGAGGGTGAGCGAAAGGCGAAGAGGCGTATGCACTGCGTGCGAGATGGTGTGAAGTATATCTCGTACACTTCTTCGTTTTCCGCCTTTCACATCCCTTCCTCTCATCCATCCTCCTACGTGCGTGCGGACTCCAATATGGCTACCGTAGACGATGGCAAGCCGACAGCTGTGCCTGACACCGAGCGCGACCCCAACTATGGCGAAGGCACAGAACTTGAGCAAGAGAAGACGGACCGAATGATCACAGGCGACAAAGTCGAGCTACAAGACAGTGATGCTTGGGACAAGCTTGGTTACTCGTTCCCAACTTGGCGCAAATGGTGAGTTGAGCTTATGTCTCTTGTCTGGATGCCGCTTTGCCGTGAGACCCGACCATTGTGGCGGAGCATCATGAGAGCCTATCATGGGCTTACGACCTCCTCGCGATCGCTCTCTCCGTGTTGCAATGTTCAATGTACGGCGCTGACAATGATTCCACGATAGGCAGATCCTCATCGTCGTCTTCTTTATTCAGATCAGCATCAACACGAATGCGTCCATGTACTCGCATGCCGTCAGCGCCGTGTCTGAACACCATGGCGTCAGCGAACAAGCAGCTCGCGTACCACAGGCAGCGTTCTTGATCGCCTACGGTATCGGCTGCGAGCTTTGGGCTCCCTGGTCAGAAGAGTATGGACGGTGGCCCATCCAGCAACTCAGTCTTTTCCTTGTCAATCTCTGGCAAATACCAGCTGCTTTGTCAAAGAACTATGCGACATACGTGGTGGTCCGGACGCTCGGAGGCTTATCAACGGCTGGCGGCTCGGTCACACTTGGTGTACTCGCCGATATGTGGGAGCCGGATGAACAAGAGTTTGCTGTCGCTTTCCTAGTGCTATCATCCGTTGGTGGGTCTGTTGTTGGTGCCATCATCGGAGCGTTCGTAGAAAGGTGAGTACATCATTGACAATTTTCGCTAGCAATTATTGACTTAGCTCTCTAGGTACAAGTCGGTCGAGTGGATATTCTGGGTCCAGCTCATCATCGGAGGCTTCGTCCAGCTCGTTCACTTTGTCTGCAACCCCGAGACTCGCTCGACAATCCTATTGGACCGTGAGGCGAAGAGACGACGTAAGACAGGTGAAGACCCGAATATCTATGGCCCAAATGAGATCCGAGGTGGCCATAAGATGAGCTTCAAAGAGGTCGGCACTATCTTCTGGAGGTATGTAACGGCTTCAAGACTTGATGGTTTCGATGCTAATGATAAGATAGACCTTTCTACATGTTCTTTACCGAACCAATCGTCCTATGGCTCTCCCTCCTCAGTGGTTTCAGCGACGCCCTGATCTTCACATTCTTGGAGTCTTTCGGTCCCGTCTACGAACAATGGGGCTTTGGCGTCGTTGGTGCTGGTCTAGCCTTCCTTCCCATCTTGATCAGTTACTTCTTGGCCTATGCTTCATATATGCCGTCGATCATCAGTTTCCGGAAGAAACGACGACAGAATCCGGGGTCTGTCGAACCGGAAGCCCGACTTTGGTGGTTGCTGTTCCTCGCTCCGCTGGAGACTATCGGCTTGTTGGGGTTTGCTTGGACGTCACTTGGCCCAGATTATGGCATTCCTTGGATCGCGCCGATGATCTTCTCGGCAATGGTTGGCATAGCGAACGTAAGTTTTGGAGCCTTTCATGTGGTGCTCAGTGCTCAGTGGCTAATACTTCCCAGTATGCAATCTACCAATCTTCGATCGACTACCAGACCGCCGCATACGGCCCCTACGCTTCCTCCGCAACCGGCGGCAACGATCTCGCTCGTGATGCCCTCGCCGGTATCGCCTCTCTATACTCAACACCGCTTTACTCGAATATCCCTGGTCGACCGTTACAATACGCTTCAACTATCCTAGCCTGCCTTGCTTTCCTGGTCACCCTGCCCATCTACATCGTGTACTGGAAAGGTCCGCAGATCAGAGCCAATTCGAAGTTTGCGCAAAGCCTCGATCAAAGTCGGCAACAGAGAGATGAAAAGAGGAGGAAGAGTGTTCATCCGGGTGTAGAGGGGCCGCTGGGGGAGAAAGATCAGAAGGTTCATCGAGAGAATGCGTAGGTTGAGAAAATGGAGAAGAGCGGACGAGTTTGAAGCAGGTGATTTGGCTGAGGCTCTTGCTCTGTGTGAAATACAATCAATTCGTGGTCGTGGTGTATATGTTCAGATAATGAACTCGTTGTAGAAAGAAAAGCTCCTATCGCCTTCCTTGCTCAGGCCCAATTCGAAACGAAAGGTGTCGCCTCTTCGATACGTCGGTCGTCAAACACCGTCGTGCTGGTCATAGTCGCCCCTCGTATGAATTGCTCTAGCCCAATCCAGCTCGGCACCCTAGCCCAAACAACGACGTCTGATCCAAGGCCGTTCTCAAGAATGATGATTAGAAGACTTGGTCTCGCATTTGCAAGTGTGTCAAGAGCAATACCCAATCCTTCCATTTCCATCGGTGTCTCGTGGAAGGGTCGGTTTCCAGTCCACGATATGCTTAGCTCAACGAGGTTTGGTGCCCAGTCTAGATGTTCGGCGAGTGCCCACAGTGGGAGCGGATCATCATCGAAATGACTTCCGAACATTTGGACGTGTTCGAGTAATGGGCACGAAGACAAGAGTGCGAGGAGAAGGTTGCGACTACGGAAATTCCTCAGCTGGACAGTCTGTAGGCCTGGACAACGATGAACAACATGGATCATGATTTCCTCTCTGTACATTCCCGACTCGCCCGTTCCTTTCATCGTTAGCCATTTGATCAAAGACATATTTGACTGAACTAGCAAGATACTGATATATTTCATGCAAGATTGAACAAAGTGTACATACCGGTCGATTGAAGGTGTTTAACTTTAGGGCTCATGTCGATAGAGAGTAAAGATTGGTCGTCCATACTATTGTGCATCAGCGACGTCTGTACAAGGAAAAGGGTGTGTTCAAAAGCGTACTCCGTCACATCCAACAGGCATTCTGTCATGGGGCATTGATCATAGTCCACCCCACTCCAAGACAACTGGCAGTTCGATCCCATAGCTGTAGCATCCAGAATGGGAAGATCAGCTGGCTTGCGGATTCTGGATGAATCCATCGAACATTCGACAACGCATTGGCGTCTGCATGAACATTCGCTGGGGTTTTCCTCGCCTTCTGAATCATCGCTATCGCGATCGGAGCTGGGTGCGACACCAGGATTTTCTTCTATCACAATGCATGGTGTTGGCGGGGTCGCAGGAGGAGTGGGTTGTGAACGACAATTCTGTATCGACCGCAATGGTGTCTTCGCACGGCGAATTCGCTTTTTCCGTGGTGATGCTTTTGGTCGTGTAGCTGTCACGACCTTTGCTGCGGCTGCTAACGCTTCATCTCGTGAAACCACGCTGAAACCCAGGCTGGCAAAGGTACCTTCTGGTGTGATGTTTGTGTTTTGCGTAAGAGTTGGTAGCATCCCTGCGGACGTTGCGAAAACTGCGAGTGGAAAAGAGAGATTGATAACTCGAGAATGAAAGGACCATGGTCGGGTATCCCAGATTTTATAGCGGGTACCTGTAATAGGGTCTCTGCCGTATCTTACATTGCGGCATTGCTTTTTCCAACGGCTGAAACTCAACCCAGCTTAACCAACCCCGCGATATCTCGACACCAGTTGCGATTGGTTGCTTTACTGTATATAAACAGGTTTAAGCTATGTGGTAGGCACGTGGCGAACGCCCTCTCGTGATGCTTGTAAGCCACCAAAACTTCCTGTAGTTTTGTCGTTGGCTAGCGCGGCGCTGTAAACTTGACAGTTCGTGACATCCTGCTGGTTGTGCTCCAATAAGCCCAAGATACTGTCCAGCCAAAGAAAGATGTATATTGATAAAGAAAGTACCTATGGCCTGGCCCGCTTAGGTATAGCTCATGTGTCAACAGGGATACTAGTAGACACCTTTCTACCATTGATGTATGTTGTATGACTAGTCGACATGTACCACGAATCATACTTCTTGTAATGCGAACGATGAACCAGCTCGATTGGTAGCGTCGGTCGCGACCTTCCAAACTCTCGCATGCCACGCATGTAGTTTTTTTCAGAAGACTGGTCGCTCAGGCGTAGTTTCTTCAAATTCGGCGCCAGATCTGGGTTAGCGGTCATTTGCTGGAAAGCGGCTTCGGTAACACCACGACCGGAGAATTCCAGATGGGTAATGTCACGACAGAAGGTAAGAAGGTGAATTAGACCTTCGTCACCCATGCTGCGACCGCCACCCGGTAAGGAAATCTTCTTCAGGTTTCTGCAACCTCTAGCGAGGCGTTTGATGCCCTCGTCTGTCACGAGGCAGTCTGTCATCGCAGTCAGAAATATTTTTATGAAGTCT